CTGCGAATTTGAATTTCACGTTTCATATTTCAAAATTTTCAATCCGAATAATAAATTATAGGGAATTTTTTATACATGAGCGAACAAAATAATGTGCACACGGTTAGAAAGAAAACAATGTGTGCGATGAGAAATAGAGAACAAACGTTTCTTTAACATGAAACGTTTGCGATGCCCGACGGACGCACACACGGTTTCGTCTCATATGTGTGTGCGATTCATGGTAATATGACAAACGTTTCAAACCTGTATGCGTGTGTGATAGGAATACCTATCGCACACCATTATGAAAATGGACATGTTGGTGTTAATAGAGGCACCGCACATAGTTTACATTCTTGAACTGTGTGCGATAACGTATCGATCGCAAACACATCGGTAGAGTGTTGATGTCCACCTTTTCACATGACTATAGCATCGTAATCGTTTGGAATGTCTCTCGGATCAGAAACTTAATATTGAGACATAACGTGTGGGACTGGGGCGACTTCTCATACGTTTATTCTATGGCAAGCATCAGTAGCTGCTTGCCTATCCCCGACGATTTTTGGGTCGTGTGGGAAGGACCCCCCTATGGCAGCCACTCACTTGGTGACGGTTCCGAATGTCGTTGTGGAAAGAGGTTAAAAACCATTTGTATAACACGTTACAGTACCAGTTGTGGGCCGTGCAGTCCGATCGATCAGATTGTTTTAACATATTATTTAACACGCCATTTGTGGTGTCCTCATCCTTATATATGGGGAGGACCAAAGTTGTGCAAAGGGTGCACATTTTTGGAGAAGGATGGCTTTATGTATACCAGTACTCAACACTTAAAGGAAAAATGAGATCTTGTAATCATATGTATCAACCGACCGAGAACAAGCAAGACATAGGGTATTACACCTCAAAGTGGCCTAAACCTAGGTAAAAAAACCATGCTGTCCGCTGAAGTGATTTGAAGTGTTTTAGCCCCTAGCCAAATGAAAAAGGGAATCTCCTCGATCTCCGGTACCAATGAGTTCACCATTGACATATACCTCACACACGATCACACCCAGTCCATCTTAGCGATTGACGCACGCCACCGCCGTCTTACACCACCCAATAGCCGTCGCATGACGCGTTTGTCCCTATGAAGCGGGTCACCTCGCAGGTCACCGCCGCCTCGAGCTTCAGCGACCCCGGGCACTATCGTAGGTCGCTACCTCTATCCCTCCAAATCTCAACGCCTTCATAGCCATCGCCCTGCATGTCGTTGCCTCCTTCCCATGACCTCGACGAAGGGAAGGAGGAGGTAGTGGGTGAAGTAGCAAGGCCAAGGCGGATTACAGCGAAAGCTTCATTAGATATGATGTGGTATAGGTCAACAACTGGCTCGTTAACATCTCACAAGCCTAAAGCTCTACTACTGGCTGATGCAAGTCATCGCATCTGTTTCCCAGGGCCACAGATGATGATGGTGATGAGGTGGGGTGACAAGGGAAGGCTGAGGTCAAACTGACGAGGAGCAGCGGCCCCAAGTCGTTGATTGTGTGTACGACCTGCGGGATAAGGGAGAAGTGTCGGGAGCTCGGGCGGATGGCATAGTTGGTTGCGTGTACAACCTGCGGGATAAGAAGAAGTGCTGGGAGCTCGACCAGATGTCGGCAGTTCTTCTTCAAGTTTGTCTTCCAGGCTTCGACCCTCCTCGAGTCCATCCATCTAAACGTAGTTAACAGATCTTCCATGTAGATTCCCGCCGTCTCCTTGGGGTTGTGGGGTTAGGTTTTCTCAGCATGCGTGCGCACCAATGAGATTTGGTGTCAATTGCTTCAGATCTATTCAAGGTTTCAACGATGATGACTATGGCTCGAGGGTGCTAGTCATCGACACGAGGTCGTGCATGTGCACGAAGACTTCCCATCTGTCATCAACAAGGTCTGCTCTGGTAGAGGAGCGACGATAGCGATGCATCGTCGACTCTTTCTGGCGGCGGTTAGAGATGAAGGCCGACGCGTCCACGAAGTTTGCGAGCGTCCTCATCCATCAATTTTACATTAGCATGGTTATTAACGCAGCTTAGTTCTGGCTTCACGGTCGGTCGCAAACACGTTCGCTTGCATCCCTAGTAGTGGTAGTGGTCATTTAATGGTATAGAGACCTTGATGTAATTTTTGTTATGTTTGAAGTGCTTTGTACTTCTGATGAACTTTCATAATAAATTTGGATCTTTTTCATTTACCTTTTTTTCTCGCCTCCACATTAACAAAAGCACTAGGCCACCTGGGTCGCGGGCCAGCCTGTTAACACGCGTGCCTGGCCTGGCCTGGCACATGGCCCGCCTGGGCCGTGAGGCTGGCCACTCGCACGACACGACATGTTTCTATTTATATTTATTTTTGACTTACATATATATGTCCCCAAAGACAGTCCAACAGATAAAAATGAGCGAAAACCACCCTATAAGGCCTTCAAGCATCCTGCCACATGGGCCAAACCTGCGGGCCGACCCATTTACAGTGGTGCCATGCCTGGGCCTGGCAGAGGCACGCGGGCCGGCATGACACGCCCATTTAGGTCCCGCTTGGAATGGGGGTAATTTTATACACATGTATTTATTCTACAGGTGTAAGTTACACGTCAACACTTAAGATCAGCCTGAAATGAAAACGACCAGAGAAGGTCCGTATCTTATACCGGCCAGAAAACGAGCGGAAACGCTAATCCAAACAGGGCCTTACCTGTAGTGTCGTGCCTCTGCCAGAAAAAGAAGAGAATAAACAGAGAGAAATCCTCTATATTTTTTAGCAAGGGGTGCCCTGAGATTGTAAGAGCGGCAGTGAAAGGCCATCTTCATGCCCCAATGAATTATTGAGTGACAAATATTTGGGGCTGCCTACAGATGTAGGACACTCCAAAAAGGGGACGTTCAAATATTTAAGTGATAGAATTTGGGAGAAGGTAAAAGGATGGATGGGCAAACTACTGCCAACAGGGGGAAGGATGTGCTAATTAAGTCCGTTGCCCAGGCTATACCTATTTTTTCAATGTCATGTTTCAAACTCCCCAGGGGGCTGCGTGAGAACATAAATGCCATTTTTCGTAAATTTTGGTGGGGTTGCAAATAGGGCAAACGAAAACCAACATGGGTTTCTTGTGAGGTGATGACAAGACCTAAGTATCTGGGAGGTTTGAGTTTCAGAGATCTTGAGCTGTTTAACTTGGCTTTACTAGCGCTACAGGCGTGGAGACTTCTTCAGGAGCCAACCTCCATGAGTGCTAGGATTTTGAAGGCTTCTTATTATCCAAGTGGAACCATCCTCTCCGCATAATTGGGTTCTAGGCCATCACAAATTTGGAGAGCAATATTGGAAGGAAGGGACATTATGAAGCAAGGGATCATCAACAGAATTGGCAATGGCCAGAGTACATATATATGGGCAGACAACTGGATACCGAAGAAGGCCTCATGTAGACCGATCTTATCGCTGGTTGCTAACCCACCACGCATGGTGCATGAGCTACTCCTTCCAGCGTTGGCGTCCTGGAATGAATCTAGTGAGGAGCATATTTTTGCCAGTTGATGCGGACAAAATTCTAAAAATACCTGTATGCATGCGAGATGTTCCTGACTCATGGGCTTGGTACCCGGATAAGAAAGGTAACTTCTCGGTTAGCTCAGTCTACCGAATGATCATTAGCACAAAGATAGAAAGGGAGAGCTGGTTAAAAGGGCGCGCGGGCCCTTCAGAAACCTCATTAGAAGAGAAGGCTTGGAGCTCTCTCTGGAAGCTGCAAGTTCCGTCCAAAGTTCGAGTGTTCTTATGGAGGTTGGCACGACACTCGTTACCGACAACGGATGTTCTTCGAAACAGAAACATGTCAGTGCAAGATGCATGTCCTTTGTGCGGAGGGGAAGATTCATGGAGACACGCTCTTGTCTCTTGCACTATGGCAAGATGTACATGGGCGTTATCAGAGGAGGAGATTGTTGATAGAATGAGGGAGAATGGTCAGACAAGTGCCAAGCACTGGCTGTTTGATCTTTATGACACTTTGAATCATGATAAGTTCACAAAAATGGCGGTGACCCTGTGGGCTATTTGGATTGCAAGGCATAAGGCGATCCATGAAAATATTTTCCAGAGTCCGCAACAAACTAGTTCCTTTGTGAACTCTTATCTTCAGGAGCTACAAACTATACCTAAACAGTCCAGACAAGTGCGCATAATTGTGTCACAACCAACGACTACTCCTCGATGGCTTCCTTCGGAGGAGGGGGTAGCAAAGATCAACGCGGATGGGGCCGTTTCTGGTGACGGTAATGGGGGTGTGGCAGCTGCAATATGTCGAGATCACACAGGAGAATACATCGGCTCTTCGGCTGTTGTGTTTCAGTGGCATCACGGATCCTTTGATCCTTGAAGTTTATGCGTGCAGAGAAGCAATGGCCCTGGCAGAAGACCTCAACATCCACAGGCTATGTATTGCAAAATGATTGTCGAGGGGTGATCGCGGACATCAACTTCGGAAGCAGAGGGCCACACGCAGTGATTCTAAATATCAGAACGGAAGAGTCTTTTTCTTCCTTGCAATTTTGTTTTTGAACGTAGAAATTTTAATTTCGAGGCTCATGATCTCGTCAAGTTTGCTAGTAGTCTTTTGGTTGGTCGTCATGTCTAGTTGGGCATGCCTCACGACCTAAACCTTGTACCCACAAACATTTTGTTGGTTTAATAAAGACCGGCGAGAATTCTCAAAAAAAGAAAAAGAAAAAGAAAGAGAAGAAATAGCCAGGCAGAGAGGCACGCGAGCCGGCCCGGCCCGGCCCGTAAACTTTAGCACTGGGCCGGGTCTGAACGGAGGCTATTTCCTTTTCTCCTTTTGTTTTAATATAGTTTGTCTCTTCTCTTTCGTCTTCGTCTCTTCTCCCAAATCGAGCCACCGTTTGTCGTCTCCCGTGGGAGTTGCAAGCACTGCGGGGCAGCGGGAGGCGATCGCGAGGGAGAGTTAGGGGACGGTAGCGGTGCGAGAGCATGGCGGCGACGTCGTATTCGTCGTCTTCATCGGCGGCGGGGGCTGGTGGCGGCGGCGCCGCGGCGGCGACGGCGGCGGCCGGGCTCAAGACCTACTTCAAGACGCCCGAGGGGAGGTACAAGCTGCAGTACGAGAAAGCTCACTCCGCCGCTGTCCTTCACTACAACCACGGCGGGAAGACCGTCTCGCAGGTACCCGTGGACGCCGTCGCGGTTCTGGCGCCAACTAGGGGGATCTAGGTTGGAATTCTGCATGGTGAATTGGGTTGTCTCGTCGAGTATTTCGGCGGGTTTGTATCGTTGTTGAGATTTCGAGTGGCTCGGGCGTGGTATTTAAATGAAATTTGATAGCGTTATTTTATACACTGCTAGGATTTCGATTGGTGTTAGATTTTCATTACACAGTTTCTTGTGCTGTTGGCTTGTAGCTAGTGATCTTATCATGAGCGCTTCCTTGATACGTTGGAATCTCTATTAGCTGCTCATAGTGGGAGTAACAAAAGTAATAACATGCATGTCACATAGGCAAAAAATATGAAGTGGCAAGATGAGGAGAGAAGCAAATGGAGTAACATAATATGTTACCATCACATAGCGGTTCCCAATGTAAAATGACTATACAAAGTAATAAATGAAGCTCTATGTTATCGCACGGATGACACTACCCACTATGGAGGTAGTAACATAATCTAAGTTACTCCCCACTATGACTAGCCTTAGACTATTCATCGTGGGAGTAACATAGGTAATAACATGCATACTCATGCAATGCCAACTAGTCATATTAGTGATTAGTAACATGGCATAGTATTAAATGAGTAACGGAGATGGTACTACCACTCTAACGCTTCCCAAGAGAAAATTAGTCTACACGTTAATGCATGAAGCCATACTACTACTATGATACTTTGCACTAATGAAGGTAGTAACATAGATTAGTGTTATGCATGACACTGGTATAAAGTTACTCCCCACTATGACCAGCCTTAGTTTTAGTGTAGGTTGCTGCTAACTATTTATTTCAGTACTGATATTGAATAATTCTGGTTGTCTTCTCACTTTTGTAGTTAATTGTTTTTTGAACGGCTTTATAGTAATTATTGCTATTACTTCTCATCTCTGTCATTTTGTAGTAACAGCTTAGGCTTTGATTGGCTGAACTGGTTAGCCTGTTGTCCGGTCCTGGTCTTCCGGATTCTTGCTTTGTAGTAAGTTTGTTTCCTGTTAAAAAATAGTAAGTTTGTTTATTGATTGTGGCAGTTGACGGTGGCATACCTGAAGGAGAGGTTGACTGGCCAAGGCTCCACACCATCAACACCAAGCTCCAGCAGTGGGATGCGATCGGCGGCAGCAAGGCTGCTGGGTACCGGGAATGGTAGCCGCGCACTTAGCTTTGTTGGGGGCAATGGTGTCAGTCGTGCTGTGTCTGAAAGCAACCGTGTGGGAGGAACCCTTGGTACATCTACAAGCCTTGGAGGATCTCAAGCTGTAGCAAACTACGATGGCAAGGGTGCATACATCATCTACAATTCTGCGGATACACTATTCATCAGTGACCTTAATTCCCAGGACAAGGTCTGCAATCCTTTATTTGACGCATGCTAAATGCAGTTGTACTGTTGGTTCTGATCAGCTGATTAATTTCACTAGGATCCGCTAAAGTCCATCCATTTTAGCAACTCTAACCCATTGTGCCACGCATTTGACTCGGAGGCCAAGGAGGGGCATGACTTAATCATTGGGATGGGATCAGGGGATGGTTAGTGCAGTATTTGTTAGCTGTTTTTCCGCTTCAAAATGGAATGTGTTTATGGTGTATCGATTATGCAGTTTATTCAATGTCGCTGAGGCAACAGCTACAAGAACCTGGAAGGAAGCCTGTTGCAGCCCAACATTATAATAGGGGTGATAAAGATGGAATGAGCATCAGCAGGTATGTTTTAATTTTCATTATTCATTCATGCTATCCATGTGCATGTCATATATGATATTTGGAGGTTGTTTGCATTTTCTGATTTGAATCAGTGTTGCCTATTAATAATGTTGTTGTTTGCTTGTTTATTTCACCATCTTGTGATTTAACATACTCTACAAGATTCCATCAAGTATGCATAGATACAAATACAGCACCCTGATATATTACTCGAGAACCCATCATTTTCCCCAGTTTAGTCACGTCAGTTTTTAAGTATCAGATAGACGAGAAAAAAAATTAGGAGTTACAAAAGTTATCTTCCTAAACATTCCCTCACAAGGACTCCAGAAGCATTTAATAAAGAATTTAAAACACGGTAGACTTTGTTTGGGACATTGAAACAATCAACGGTTGAGCAAATATTTGGCTCCACCAATCTATGGTAAGGCAATTGTCTTTCTGTTTATTGTCTATATGCTGTCAGGTATTGCCTTGTATTAACTCATCATATTGTGGAGGCAAAAGAAGGACCTGATTTCCTTGTGTGTTCATCATCTGGTGTCTCATGTCATATACTTGCACACCTATGAATCCGTATGGTTTGTGGAAGTAGATAAGGGGAAAAATTTGTACTGGCTGCTCTCGATATTTCTCTTAAAATCAGAGATTTGATGCATTATTTTGATGGGGTTGGGCGCCCTGGGGGGCTTCTGACTTTAGTCTGCATGACTGCAATATAAGCTGAGTGCTGCTTGCATATTGGTTCTTACAGATGCTTATCCCCTCTTATTATTTTAGTTAACTCTCCTGTTGACTTCTCAGTACTATTGTTTGCAGCCGTTGCACTTCTGTTGCATGGGTTCCGGAGTGTGAAGGCATGTTTGTTGTTAGCCACTCTGATGGAAATTTGTATGTGTATGATAAAGTGAGCAATGATGATCATGGAATTTGGCATTTATAAATGTTTGCGTTGATGTTTGAACTGATGTATATTCTTTACATTCAGTGCAGAGATGGAAACACGGAGTGTACATTTCCAGCTATAAAGGATCCAGCTCAGTTGATGGTTTCACATGCAAAGTCGAGTAAGGTATTTTAGGCATTCAGTATTAGTTCCTTAAACCACATTATTTTTTGTTCAATTAGTTAATTTATTATAGAAGTGTATTTTGCCCTCTCTGTGGGCATGAAACTGTGGCCTGGTGATCTGTTACATACCCTACAGTTTGTCACTTTAGTCTACCATTCTTAACGTTAAATGTATCTTGATGCAATGAGCATTATTGTTCCTTTTCTTACACATAGAAATGTAAATGGCTAAACAGTGATACTATCAGTATAAATTCACCATTATTCAGAAAAAAAATCAATCTGAACCGTTTAAGAGAGCTCACCATTTAAAATGGCTTCTAACATTCTGATTTCCCATGGACGCTTATGTACACACAGCAGACATAAATTAAATCCTCAGAAGTGGACGTTTTTCTTTATGCTTGCATTTAGGAGTTTGGGTGAGTAATAGAAAATGGTAATCTCCCAGCTGGCTCCTACCTATGCAGTGTTCCCTTGCTAGTCTCCACCTGCAAAGAGTGTTACGATTTTTATTTCTAGACTAGAATTTACTGTTGTGATTAAAACTCTACTGGCATACATTTGCAAAAGGTACTATCATATCAGTAAGCTGACCATATAAATTGTACAGTGAATATTGGGATCTGGGCGGTAGTTTCGTTAACCTATGATTTTTGGTATCCTGCAAATGCTTCTCTCATAACATTTGGTACATGAGTTTACATCAAGCCATTGGGTTTGTTTCTACCTACAGAATCTGGGACAACGATTATTGTTGAATATATTTTAAGGAAAATTAGGTGGTGCCCAGGAGATCCTACATCCAGAATAGAGAAAGTGTACGAAATAATGTTCCAAGAAACTCACAAAGTTTATGGATGTAGTAGGCAAAAGATTATGTGAATGTGTAGAATTTTAATTTGTAGTCAGTCGAACTAGCAGTCATCATGCGCTTCTGTAATTTTTAATGTGTTTGTTTGACCATTTTATTATGGATTTTATGGGTTTATGCATATTGGGACGGCAGATCCCTATACACTAAATTGCTGCTCTTATCTCAAAAACATTACAGAGTAACCCAATTGCCAGGTGGCATGTTTGTCATGGTTCAATCAATGCAATTTCCTTCTCTCCAGATGGGGCATACTTGGCGACGGTTGGGCGAGATGGTACTTCCTTTATCCTAGATAGACCCACACTGGAGAAGTTTTTACTACTCAGAAATTCCACCATCCTACATTTCAGGCTTAACTAATATCGATGAACCATATGTAGGTTATTTGAGAGTGTTTGACTTTTCAAAGGAACAGCTAATATTTGGTGGCAAAAGTTATTATGGCGCTCTCTTGTGTTGCACCTGGAGGTACCTTTATTACATTTGAATGATTCGATGTCTTCTGTATGTGTTTGCCATGTTTTCTCCCAGTTAGCTTTATGGTTGGCTGCTCTGCAAATAATTTCTTAGCCATACTTATGCAGTTTACTCTATTTTGTATGCTGATGTTTGTGTGGAATGTTTTTCTATTTATTACCCTTAGTTTAAAGTACTTCAAAGTTCAAACTCTAAAACCTGCCTGGGCTGACTAGCATCCAAAATTGTTGTAGTTTCCTCGATGATATCTAATAAAGCTAGTATATGGCTCTATTGTGTACGCCATGAGCTATGCATTGAAGCATCTCTATACCATCTTATGGGTTATCTGATCTCTGATTCTTATCTTCTATTTGTTCTCACATTTCTATGGGTTTGTCAATTATGAGTATTTATTTGGGTGGATCAGTCGAGAATGATGAAGAAATGAGTATGGCCCAGTTTCTGACCTAGTTTGACTGTGGTCTGCTTTTACAGCTCGGATGGCAAATATCTATTGACAGGTGGTGAAGATGATCTTGTGCAGGTATGGAGCATGGACGACAGGAAGACTGTTGCATGGGGTGAAGGGCATAATTCTTGGGTATTAATTGAATTTCCCTTGAGGCTTTTTCAGTGTCTTGACGTTTGCTTTCAGAAGTTGTATTTGATGACATGGGTAATTTTTTTGCAAACAGGTTAGTGGAGTTGCTTTTGATCCATATTGGTCCCCACCAAATGCTGATGGAACGGGAGAAAATGCGGTGTATCGTTTTGGTTCTGTTGGTCAGGTATCTGAGGTTGATTCATTTGTATTATAGCTTGAACATTTATGGCATATCCATGAAAATATGTACTGCTCATCTTTAATAAGACTAGGTAATTGCCCGTGGTTTGCAACGGGGGCAAGCATATTCTAGTTGTTTAACACTAATTGTGTATCATATATCTTTAGGGAACATCAGGGAGCATTGTTGTCTTTTTTTTGTTAGGTGGCAAGCATAATCTAGTTGTTTAACACTAATCGTGTCTAACATATACCTTTAGGGAACATCAGGGAGTATTGTTAACTTTTTTAACATTAAATCACTTCTTCCACCGCCACTGTTGACCTTTTTAATGTTAAATCACTCCCTCCACCGGTTAAATTACCTCTGCGCCTTCTCGATCGAAGCTTGCCACCTCTGTCCAGACTCCCTGTGGAGATAGACATGAATCATATGTTCAAACTTCTTTTAGATACATGCACAAATCATAGGTATGGGAAAGTACAATGACATGGTAAGGGCATCTCTAGCAGACCCCTATCGTAAAAGTGTCAAATTTCCCCTATCCCATTTCCCTATTTCTTTTAGGGAAATCACTGTTTCTCAACTAGCAGATCTCCTATAACATTTCCCTTTATATGTGTATTTGGCTCACACAATTCATCAAACACATACACTACACATCCACATACACAATTCATCAAATCTGTAGCAAAGAGGATTAACCAGAAGCAGGTGTAGCCGTAGAAGTAGAGCATGGACTGAATCCAGTTCATCTCTCTGCAAGCAAACATCACGTACGCCGCCATGTTGTTCTGCACTCCCTGTACATCAAGTACGCGCTCAGCTTGATGAAACAGATCACAGGGGCCACGAGTCAAAATGCACCCGTGGAGATGGATGCACTGCAAAGGCAGTGGCAGGAACATGACACTAGCAACGTTGCTGTGCCGCGCGGGCTCCCGGTCGGCGTTTGCCTTGGATTTGGGGGCCGACATTGCCATGTCGCTTAACAAATAGCACCAAATCCTCCTATGCCCCTCCACAACACGTAGGACATGGAGCCTTGGGACTTCAGAGCTCACTGTGATGCTGCCGTAGCCGGTGAGGCGGAGTTGCGCGCACTAGGCCGAGTGGGACGGAAGGAGGGGAGCCTGGGTCGCTGCGACTGGATCCGGCGTGCAAGAGCTGGTCAGTGGTGACGGTGGCCGTGACGCTGCGCACGACGAAGGCACCCACCAGCTGGAGCATTCGGGTGCCTTGGCCCTGTGAGGACGACAGTGCGGTCGACGAGCTCTGGCTCTATTTCCATGTTGGCGCTTCGATCGAGATGTGGCCATGCTTGTGCTGCTTGCCTCGTCCTGATCGTCTTGACGCTGTGCTTGTCTCGAGTCAGAATCCCGTTGTGCGACGATGAACGTCTCCGGTGACGCATTGGATCCAGGAGCAGCGGCAGGAGGACGACGTAGATGACAGGTCTGAGGGGATTCGCGAAATTCCTCGTCGCCAAGGAGAGTCGCCGGAGGTGCAGGGGCGGTGGAGGGTTTCATTTTTCCGATTATCCGGGGTGGCGGATGGCCGCGGGCGGCGGCGTGGTCAGACGGGAGGCCTGCAGCTCTCTTATTTTTGCTGAGAATCACATCGGCTGGACTAAATTTGAGCAGATGGGGGGCAGTTTTAGGGGAGGAAGAGTCATATTTGAGGAAATTTTGGTTTAGGGGATCTACTAGATACCCCTTAATCCCCTAAACGACACTTTTTCTCGTCAAATATGACCTTTAGGGGGTCTGCTAGAGATGCCCTAAGCACATGCATAGTTAGAACCATGTTGGCAACACTTCCACAACATGGATGGAATAATCAAAATTATGGATGATGGCGATGTAGAGGAAATATTACCTCTAAATATGTCACTTGGCATCATTGTAACTGAAAAATATTCAAAAAGGAATGTCCGACATATGAACCCGCTTATGTGAACTTGTGCTTTGCTATGGAATAACATTACGATTTTCAACATTGTTTAACTAACACTCAGGAGTTGCTCATATAGATGAATTTTAAGAGTTGTCCAAAATGCTTGCAATATTTTACCATGTTGCGACAAATGAAGTGTTGCACCTGCTTTATCTTTAGCAAACTTCTACAAAATCATTCAAAAACTGATGCAGGCTACCACGTCAAATTCTTTTAGCAGGATAGAGGTGGCTTGTACCATGACAACATCCAGTATGTTCACATGGTATCTTTCTCAAAGGATATCTGCAGCCCCCGTGAGAAAATAATATCTCCACAGTAATATCAGAAATGCATATGTATAAACCCGATCTACCAATGAAAGCCATTGTTTTCTCTAGCCGAAGAATGCATATACTAACTCTAGTTGGGCAAAACTCTATGAGGAAGAGTCATTGGTGAGCAAGTGCTAACTCCGCTCCACCATAATAACTATTCTTAAGTACCATATCCAAAAAAAAACTTTGTCAGGTTGAGAGGACCGATACTGAAACTGGGTGAGAGACATAAATAAATAAAATATACATCTTTTGGACAATTACACTCTGTTCACACTTCACACAGTAAAAGAAATTCTGCTACTGTAAAATATAGTAGACCACACAAGTTAATTGAAAGCTGTGAAATAGCTCAAGGACATGTTAAATTTACAGTCTGAACAAACATAATCTTGTGGCACGACAAGAACCAACAAATTAATATTGTACATGTCAAGCATGCTGCTGCTCACCTTATTGGTAGCTTAGCTTTATGGTAGATTTAAGTATCAGCTCTGCATTATGTGCGATGGCATCTGTCAATGCCACATGCATGTCAATCTCTTCCCGGAGTTGCCTCTGCAAATTTCTGACATGTGGTATTTAATCACATATGAGAATAGTAGATCCTGTTTTTATCGAAGTTAGGCATACATGTATATTCAAACATAAGCAGTCTATTCAGAGGAATCATTCCAAAAATAATTTTCAAACCGAGCACTGGAGCACAACAAGTTGTCACAAATCACAAACCAAATGAAAGCAGGTTTATTTCAAGTGCGAATAGCAGCAGTACAAACGTCAACACCGTAGAGATGATGAAGCAATCATGAAATGCACTCATTTCCTGCTATCGAGCAGCGGTGGAGGGGCCTCCATAATGCTAGGGTTAGGGTTTCACTTCGATCAAAGATGGGTTTGTGTTCCTATGCTGTGTGATGTCAGGGGATCAAGAAAACCGACGGGAGAGGGAGTACGGACGTAGGAAAAAACAGGTTGTAGGGGCAGTACGGATGACGTGGGGCGTGGGGAGTCGGATGACGTAAGATGGGAGACAGAGCCTTGCGTCTTTTTTAAGCAGTAGAGATAAACTGATGCATGCCTGTCTGATCTTGTAACTTCTTAGTACAAATAAGAGTGAAATCTGGGAGTACCTTAAAATACTTAACCTCTCAATTTCTTCCCTGCTTACTTAATTACCGGGAGATCTTCAGTTAATGAACTGTTGGAATGTTCCTTGCTGTTCAGTCTTATGCTTATTGCAGGGCATTGAACTGATCACACTAATTATGTAATAAATATGCAAATTTCTCCAGTAATCACGCTGCTCATGCTGCTTTTTTCTTAGTGTGATTTCGCCAATATTTTTGATTCACGTTGAAGAACTTAACTACTGAGTGTCATTTTACCTCATATTTTTAGAAGATCAGATTGATTTTTGTCAGAACTTGGTGATCTGTTATGAACTTATCATGTCTTAGCTTATTATATGAATATAGTCATAGCTATCAGATAAATTGGCAAGTGTTTTTACAGTTTGCTTTCTCCAACACGGTTGACTACTGATATCAATTGCCACTCTGGCATACTCTTAGGATACCCAATTGCTTCTGTGGGATTTGGCAATGGATGAGATTGTTGTCCCACTACGTCATCCTTCAGGTGGTTCGCCAACATTTAGCAGTGGGAGCCCTTCTGCACACTGGGACAGTGCATGCCCTCCAACAGGTATTCTTCAACCTTCTCCCAGAATGCGGGACGTGCCGAAGCTTTCACCTCTTGTCGCCCACCGAGTACATGCGGATCCCCTGTCTGGTGTGGTGTTCAGCACTGAATCAATCGTCACCATTTGCCGCGAGGGACTAATCAAAATATGGGCCAGACCTGGCCACAGTGAAAACAATCAACAGTCAAATTCTTCCGAGTTTGCTTTAAGCAATACTGTCTCCAAGGATAGGGCAATCACATCCTTCAGTAAAGCAAGTGTCTCTAGCTTCAAGCAACCTTCATCGCTTGGCTTGACATAGCCGTGAGTTTCTTACTAACACCATGATTGATGAGACGGGCTCTCAAAGGAGGCTGCTGGTGATGAAGGCACATATTTGTAGATGTTCCTTATTACAGCAAGGCTAGTTAGTGGCACAAAACAATAATGGAACATGCCCCTGTACAGATACATATACTCCAAGATAGCTAATACAAGTTTGCCTTTTGTTTTGTATTGCCCAATGTGCCAACATGTGATGGATGGGATGACAATCTTTGCTTCGTTTTGTTTTAGCATTTCTAGATTTCCCCCAGTTGTAAATTGCTTCCTCACTTCTCCAGTTCTTGCATCAACTCCATATCGTAATTCTGTTTAGTCGTTGAATGTTCTGTAGATTGTGTGAGCAAATGTAGATACTTTGCGGGAATGTACGTGTGTCAGCCGATAAAATTATTGAGGAACTAGTAGATTAGTATGGAATGTTCAGACTACAGAAGCAATGTTACCAACTGTAGAGTCTGCAGCTCACAATACGCAACAAACTTATGTACAAGTACTTCAATATGGATGGAAAACATGCAAAGAAAAGACACAAAAGCCAGCTATTCTGAACAAACAATTTATTGTAAGTCTGCTTATATTTCATCTTTCGTTCTGTCTTGCAACAATGAATCTCCTCTCCTCACTTCTTCCTTCTCCTATCTTTCTTATTAAAAAAAACGTAGTGTTCCCCTTTTCGTTCGACATTCGTCCCACGTCGTGTCCACTTCATTTGCAACCCCCACATGGTCTATCCGATTTTACATGCAAATCAAGTCCCTAAAAGCCGCCCTCCCACCTTTCCACCTATAACCAGATTTTAAAGCTTGAATTATGGATATTACCCCTTTCTAGATTCTGGAAATGTTAGGTTATGGTTGGGGGCAAAGTAGGTTAGGCCTACCAGTCATGTACTATGATCAATGATTATTTTTCAAGGCTTGACATCCCCTTCATAATATATCTTGACCCAGGACCCCAATAAGCAGAGGTTGATCTCCTGGAGGTTAGGGATGCCCAAACCTTCAAACTCTTTTCTCATGCAAACCAATTTTCAATTAGCTAAATGCAGCTTTCTATGGCCTTCAAAGTCATTCCACCTTAGCCATTTGGGAGTTGATAAAATCTATGGCCCATTTTGAAAATTTTAAAAGGATAACAGATAAATGGGAATGCTTGCAAGATAGCTTGAATTAGAACAAGTCTGCTTAGAGGCGCTTTCCTCTCCACCAAGCAATTCTCTTTATAATTTTATCTATTAGAGGTTAAATATCCTCTGTTCCTAGATTGTCATGGTGGAGGGGAGTCCCTAGATATTTAATGGGGAATTTCTCACCACTAGAATCTAATAATGAGAGAAAATTTTGGGACTCAGTGATGAGGACATCAATACCATTGTTACACCCACAACCCCTGCTACTATACATACTGGACCAATTACTAAAGCTCGCGCCCGCCAATTAAGTTATCAGGTACTTTCGTTTCTTGGTAATGATTCTAATGTTCATGAGAATATGATGCTGACTAAATTGGATACATTTGTTTTGCTTATAAAATGAAGGGCCAAGCATGGACAAGAACGCTGGACATTGGAGCATGATCAAACATGGAGAAGATGACGCACGCAAGGGGAACAAGAATAGAGTTTCTTGTGGAGTTTTCAGTACTTAGGAGTTTGGGGCCACCATGATGACATACAAGAACATGGACGAAATATAAAAGATGCCCTTTCATAAATTTCGTCGATAGCTTAATATAGGTGCCGCGCCACCTTATTTTTGGGATAGGTCCATGTAATTTTGAAATATTACTTATAGGCTATTTTTTAGAGTCCGTATTGTAGGGGAAATGACTCGGGAGGTGTTTTAGTCCCACCTTGCCAGGAGGACGAAATCCCCTCTCTCACCCTACAAATACATCCATTAAGGCACCGTTTAGACTTTGGGTTTTGTTTAGATTAAAAGTTCGCCACAGCTGCAACTTCGCGTACTTCGTTTGTGTTCTACGATCAGACAAAGACGTCACAGAACCCCACCTTCATTAATAAAGCTTTCCTCTTATAGTCGCAATATCTAGATTGAAATTTCAGTTTCTTGCTTGTTCTTCGTTTGCGTGCAGGAAACAGACCCTCGTGGTCAGGTTGATCGTGCTCCGGCATGGTGAATAACCTCTCGGAGTTGGTTTAGCGATTGCTAAGGCGCGACGTCCTCGCACGTTCGTAGTCGGATCGTCAAAGTCTACTCCACTGAAAACAATAGGCACCATCTCATCGAAAGATGAGACACCTTTGCCTCTATCAAGTGGTATCAAATTTCCAGATTGCTCGGTGAGATTTTCCAGTTTTTCATAGTTTACATCGCATCCGTTCTTTATCCTACAGTCCATGAAAAAGCTACAAAAAAATTAGGGTTAGATCATCATATTCGAACCAATCTGAGCCTTTTGCAATTTTCTGTTCGGTGTTTTGCTTTGTTGAATTTGCGTTGCATCGTCGTGTCGAGTTGCTGGTCTTAGCGTCCAGTCTTTTAGAGTTTTGAGTTCTGTTCACAGGTTGTCATGCCACCGCTGCACCATCTTCGTCGATGCTGCCATATACCACCATCGCACCAACTTCATCGCCGCTGCCATATACCACCACCACCACATATCCGCCGCCAATCCGAGTACATATATGCCACCACATATCCATCGGCATCACGCTAATCCAAGTCCACCTCCAACATATATCTGCCACCAGTCCGAGTTCCACCATATATATACCCGCCACCAGTCCGAGTTCCACCAGATTCATCTCCGCCACCAGTCCTAGTCCGAGTCCGGTATTCGCATCTCTGCTATTGATTTCCAGGTCACGTCCAACTACGAGTCGTGACCAAGTCGGACACCCCAACTTCCGTGCCATCCGCAGAAGAAAAATAGTTCCAATTAAAAAAAACTAAGTCTGGAAAATTCTGGCTAGGCAGTTTTTAGACCATTTGTAGACCTTTTCAAAAAAAAATTGTTGCGGAGCAAAAAAAGAGAAAAGTGCAAAAAAGAGAGAAAAAAGAGCTTCAGAGTGTGCTTCTCCCTTGTTTACGTGCAGCGCTATGATTTTGTTAGTGTTCTAGGCTCGCGTCTCTAGCACGATCTAGCGTTTACTCAACTTTGCATCTCTGAATTGATTATTGCTGATCCTTTTTGCTACCATACTATAAGCCTTCCCAGCTCCACATACATCTACGTCGTGTGTTTGACACCACCTGGCAATCGCTCCGCCCAAGCTTTGAGGAGTTTTTGACTACAACGGTTGCCAAGCCTACTGCTTGGTAAGAACGGGTAAGAATTTGTGATTCGCTTGACGGATTTGTGACTTTCCACCACTCCACATCCTCTTAGTAGTCTGTAGGATATATTCTTGTGTGTTTCTATTGCTGACCATGACAGGATCACAAGCCGATGAGACTGACTGGGAGAACATGACAAACAAGGAGCTACATGATAAATTTTAGCAAATGATGAGTGGACAAGTGCAAGATGTGCTAAATAGATTTGAAGAGGCCAGGAGAAGATAGATGGCACTGAGAAGACGTTTGAAACAAAGCTCGATAACAAGTTTAATGAACTGCTCGCGCGTCTTCCACAACCACCACTGTCTGCACCTGTCGCACCTCTGCAACAACAACGACGACGACAACAACAACAACAACAACAACAACAACAACAACAACAACAACAACAACAACAACAACAACAACAACAACAACAACGTCGCCTTCCAAATCAAGTGGGACAAGCAATGCACATTGCCCTTGAGCCCGACCAAACTTTTGGTGCCGCTGCACCTATTATTGATGCTTCTATGGCTCCTGCTCCTGCTGTTGCCGAGGAGGAGGATTACGAGGGCGATCACGAGGATGAGTGAAAGGATCGAGAAGAGGGGTCTAGAGGGGGGTGAATAGACTCTAAGCAAGAAAAGTTACAGTTCTTAATTTCTTTAAGTTGAAGTGGAGTTTGGCACAAGTTTCAACATTCACAATACATATCAAGCAAGCATGACAAGAGTATATGGGCAGCGGAAAGTAAAGCATGCAAATTGCAAGAATGTAAAGGGATGGGATTGGAGTGTGCAAACGCAATTTGGAGACATGGAGATTTTTGAGCCGTGGTTCCGATAGGTGGTGCTATCGTACATCCACATTGATGGAGACTTCAACCCATGAAGGGTAACGGTTGCGCGAGTCCACGGAGGGCTCCACCCACGAAGGGCCCACGAAGAAGCAACCTTGTCTATCCCACCATGACCGTCGCCCACGAGGGACTTGCCTCACTAGGGTAGATCTTCATGAAGTAGGCGATCTCGTTGCCCTTACAAACTCCTTGGTTCAACTCCACAATCTTGACGGAGGCTCCCAAGTGACACCTAGCCAATCTAGGATACACCACTCTCCAAGAAGTAACAAATGGTGTGTTGATGATGAACTCCTTGCTCTTGTGCTTCAAATGATAGTCTCCCCAACACTCAACTCTCTCTCACAGGATTTGGATTTGGTGGAAAGAAGATTTGAGTGGAAAGCAACTTGGGGAAGGCTAGAGATCAAGATTTATGTGGTAGGAATGGAATATCTTGGTCTCAACACATGAGTAGGTGGTTCTCTCTCAGAAAATGAATGCTGGAAGTGCAGGCACGTTCTGATGGCTCTCTCCACGAATGAAGAGTGGGTGGAGGGGTATATATAGCCTCCACACAAAATCTAACTATTACACACAACTTACCAAAGTCGGTGGGACAGAATCGTGAAACTCAGTCGGACCGATTTAGTAAATAATGTGACCGTTAGGATTTTCGGTGGGACCGACATGTCAACTCGGTGGGACCGATATCGTTAGGGTTAGGGCATAGCGTAATCTCAGTGAGACCGATTACACAAACTCGGTGAGACCGACTTTGGTAATAGACGCGCAGAGGGTTGGTCAGGCAAACTCGGTGGGACCGATTCACTCATTTCGGTTGGACCGAAACGG